CTCACAAACTCCTTTCCCTTCCCCTCCCCACCACAGACACCCTGTGAGGTAAAGGAAGAAGAAGAAGAGATTGGATTTATACCCCGCCCTTCACTACCCAAAGGAGTCTCAGAGCGGCTTACAAACTCCTTTCCCTTCCCCTCCCCACCACAGACACCCTGTGAGGTAAAAGAAGAAGAAGAAGAGATAGGATTTATACCCCGCCCTTCACTACCCAAACTCCTTTCCCTTCCCCTCCCCACCACATACACCCTGTGAGGTAAAGGAAGAAGAAGAAGAGATTGGATTTATACCCTGCCCTTCACTACCCAAAGGAGTCTCAGAGCGGCTTACAATCTCCTTTCCCTTCCCCTCCCCACGACAGACACCCTGGGAGGTAAAAGAAGAAGAAGAGATTGGATTTATACCCCCCCTTCACGACCCAAAGGAGTCTCAGAGCGGCTTACAATCTTCTTTCCCTTCCCCTCCCCACAACAGGCACCCTGTGAGGTAGGTGAGGCTGAGAGATCTCTTTCCAGAACTGTCCTTGAGGGAACGGCTCTGAGAGAACTTGTGACTGACCCAAGGTCACACCAGCAGCTGCATGTGGAGGAGTGGGGAATCAGACCCGGTTCTCCCAGATTAGAGTCCGCGCACTTAACCCACTACACCAAACTGAATGAGACTAGCTGGCTCCATTTGGGCAGTCACGAAACTGGGGGACTCCGTTTGTCGTCTCATTCTGAGCCACAGTAGTCAGGGAATGAAGCTTGTAAGGCAGACACAGAACAAAACTGCACACGCCTGTTGAGGGTCTCACTCTGTATCCCTTGCATATTTATATCCAGGCTGTGGGTCATCCCTGACCAAAGCAGGAAAGCATCTACCCCCCCTTCCCCTTCATTTATTCCCTTCGTACTCACAGGTTCGTCTTGCTGAGACAGAAGAAAGAGCTTCCTTCAGGAATCGGCAACACTTTCTCCTTGGGACTGTCCTCCGGTTTGTCCTGGCGGGATTCTGCTAAGCTCTCCTGGTCTCCTTCTCCTTCTTCTTCTTCATCTTCTTCTTCCTCCTCACCTGGAAGGAGGGCAGGATATAGGCTTAAGTTCAGAATTCCATGGGATCATCTCCCCTGCTGAGCTGAGAATATAGCTGGTATCAGTGCTCCCTCTGAGCTGTGGAGTCTTGTGAGCAAAAATTCTACTTTGTGAGCGACTGGCATTAAAGTAGTGAGTGAGCGATTCGGCAACTGCAGAAATCCGTTTGCTCTGGAGCCCTCCTTCCTGAGCTAAGACAAAAATGTGTGAGCCGGAGGCTAAAAAAAATGCGAGCTAGCTGACACTAACTCATCTTAGAGGGAACACTGACTGGTATAATCTTAAACTTGGCAGTGCAAGACCATGAATGGCTCCAGATTGCTGCTGAGCGGGGCTTCCTGTGCTAATGAGTGACCGCTCATGTGCACAGCTGCGAGGGAACATTGGGATCATCCCTTCGATACCGAATGCCCCCACGTGTGGAAAAGGCCTGCCTGAGGAGGTGTCTGCAGACTACGCAAAACTGAATTGAATTGAATTAAAATGAAAATTGATGCTTTGAATCTTGTTTGAAAAGACCTGCAGTGAGTGACAGCGGGTGGACCAATGGGTATTTGCCAGTTATCTTCTTCTTTAAAAAATGAGGTTTCCTCTGCAGATCCCCGGTAGGTCTTCCTAAGGATCTACACTCCCCTTCTGTGGCTGAGTGGGGTGGGCCAGTGTGCAAGGATCAGGACTTGGGAGAGGTCCCCACCCCTCGAAGTATGGGTTCTCAGCACTGGTAAGTACTATCACCAGGGGTCATTTCCTGCAGGAGCGCACAGGAGTGGAGCTCCGGCAGTAAAGAGCCCGAAAGAGCCCAGGGGGCAGGCACATGCAACAAACCCCACCCCCTGCTCCCAGCAGCCCTCAGAGCAAGAAGCAGCCAGGTAAGTTGCAGAGCTCCCCCCGGCCCCCCAGTCCAAAACAGTCCAGTGTCCTTTAAGGCCAAGTTTTATTCAGGTACAAGCTCTCCCTCCTCTGGGAGGACAGATCTGCACGTCCCCCCCCCCCGTAGCTAACAATCCAAAACAGTCCAGTGGAGCCTGAGCGGTGGGTGTTGCCTTCTGACACACTTCCGGTGATGTCAGGGGGTGTGGCATATGCAAATGAGTTATGCTAATGAGCTCCTGCACCTCTTTTTCTACGAAATGACCCCTGACTGTCACAAAAAAAGCCCTAGTTATCTTTGAAACATTCTTGTTGGTCAAAGGAGAAGAAAAGAGCAAGAGTCCAGTAGCACCTTAAAGACTAACAAAATTGGTGGCAGGATATGAACTTCAACAAAACTAGAAGGGATCACAGGTTAGTATATAGGAAACACAACGAACAAGCAAACCCTGTGATATAAATGACTAGGATCATATTGTACTATTAATAAAACTTTACAAAATTACCAGAAAGGTCCATCAAATTCAATGAGCACCCGGATATAAGCGCATTTCGTCTCAATCTTCCTCAGGAGTGATCCTGTTGTATTGAAAGGTGTAAGCCTCTTGATGCAGCTCAATGTCTGTTAGAAGCAAACCAATGTTCAACTTCTTTATTTTCTGCAATTATTTTCTGGTTCCATTCCTCCTGGCTCCGTTTATATCACAGGGTTTGCTTGTTTGTTGTGTTTCCTATAGGATATTAACTTCTTCATCCGTGACTCACAAAAGCTCCTCCCCTGCCACATATTCCGTTAGTCTTTAAGGTGATACTGGACTCTTGCTTTTTTCTGCTGCTACAGACAGGCTAACATGACGACCCATCTTGTTGCTTAAAGGGTTATTCGTGGATTTTCCCATTGATTTTGAAGGCAGCATTAAAAAGGAACACCCACTACTGCGTTAAAATTAAGTATAACCATCTTTTTAAAAAGACCCCTTTCTCACCTTCTTCTGCACTGCCTTCCTCTTCCTCTTCGTCACCACAGTCCACCTGAGGAGAAAGAAGATTTCGGGTACCACCAATGGAAGGAATCCTAAAGAAAGAGAGGCTCCTCTCCTCAACTTCCAGACCATCTTGGTACTGTCTACCACACAGGGGGACTCAGGTCAGGGACTCATAAGGACATCAGAAGAGCCCTGCTAGATCAGACCAGTGGTCCATCTAGTCCAACATCCCACCTCACACAGTGCAACCAGTTCCTCTGGAGGGGCAACAACAGGCCATAGAGACTGAGGCCTTCCCCTGATATGAACATCAGAAGAGCCCTGCTGGGTCAGACCAGTGTTCTATCTAGTCCAGCATCCCGTCTCACACAGGGGTCCACCAGTTCCTCTGGAGGGCCAATAAGAGAGCATAGAGGCTGAGGCCTTCCCCTGATAAGAGCACCAGAAGAGCCCTGCTGGATTAGACCAGTGAGGGTCCACCTAGTCCAGCATCCTGCCTCACACAGCGGCCAACCAGTTCCTCTGGAGGGCCAACAACAGGGCAGAAAGGCCGAGGCCTTCTCCTGATAAGAATACCAGAAGAGCCCTGCTGGGTCAGACCAGTGAGGGTCCACCTAGTCCAGCATCTTGTCTCATACAGTGGCCAACCCGTTCCTCCAGAGGGCCAACAACAGAGCATAGACGCTGAGGCCTTCCCCTGATAACCACCTCAGAAGAGCCCTGCTGGATCAGACCAGTGAGGATCCCTCTAGTCCAGCCTCTCGTCTCACACAGGGGCCAGCCAGCTCCTCTGGAGGGCCAAGAACAGGGCATGGAGGCCGAGGCCTTCCCCTGGTAAGAACACCAGAAGAGCCCTGCTGGGTCAGACCAGGGAGGGTCCATCTAGTCCAGCCTCCCGTCTCACGCAGGGGCCAGCCAGTTCCTCTGGAGGGCCAACAACAGGGCAGAGAGGCTGAGGCCTTCCCCTGATAAGAACCTCAGAAGAGCCCTGCTGGGTCAGACCAGGGAGGGTCCCTCTAGTCCAGCCTCCCGTCTCACACAGGGGCCAGCCAGTTCCTCTGGAGGGCCAGCAACAGGGCAGAGAGGCCGAGGCCTTCTCCTGATAAGAACACCAGAAGAGCTCTGCTGGATCAGACCAGTGGTCCACCTAGTCCAGCATCTTGTCTCACACAGTGGCCAACCCGTTCCTCCGGAGGTCCAACAACAGAGCATAGAGGCCGAGGCCTTCCCCTGATATCAACCTCAGAAGAGCCTTGCTGGATCAGACCAGTGAGGGTCCATCTAGACCAGCATCCCGTCTCACACAGTGGCCAACCAGTTCCTCTGGAGGTGCAACATGGAAGTCCAGGGTTGCTATGCAGAATCAGGCAATTACAAACCACCTCTGAACGTCTCTCGCTCTGACGTGGATGGCCCAGGCTAGGCTGATCTCATCAGATTTCAGAAGCTCAGCAGGGTTAGCCCTGGTTCATACATGGATGGGAGACCACCAAGGAAGTCCAGGGTTGCTATGCAGAGACGGGCAATGGCAAACCACCTCTGAACATCTCTTACCTTGAAAACCCTACAGGGTCACCATAAGTCAGCTGTGGACGGCACATTATACCCCCCCCCCTCGTTTGTTCAGCGAAGGCACATGGAGGTGCATTCTAAGTGGCTGTTCCCACAAACATGGAACTCCCTTCTCTTGAAAATTTGCTGAAGTCCTGAACTGTTTTTTTTTTCATGCTAGGACTATATAGCAGCCCAAATAGCCCTGTCTCGCCAGCTCTCATTGGAGCTTGGAAGCTAAGGAGGGATGGGAGGCCACGAGGGAAATCTAGGGTTTCTACGCAGAGGCAGGCAATGGCAAACCACCATTGGGACTGTGTGTGGCTACTGCAGAGGCAGGCAATGGCAGACCACCATTGGGACTGTGTGTTGCTACTGCAGAGGC